TTTGTACATACATGCGTACGTTAAGCTTTAGAAAACCCATAGCGTTGCGTAAATGGTTAATCTGTTCATCTTTTCATGACTTGCCTTCTGAGACACTAATGAAACTGACTTAATTCATAATTACTTGACTTCCATGTCTTATTTTAACAGGATATTACAATGACGAACACGTACACCCGACTAATATTTCGCAATAGCCTAATGTCAAAAGGGCAATTTGAAGTCCACGTTATATGTTGCTTTCTAAGGCCATTGTTTTATCCAATGTAATCTCTAAATCAAATAACGCTTAAGGATCTAAATCTCAAGACACATGCGGTCAGTGATTTTTTTTTCTTTTTGTCAGCAATAAATATCTTTGATGTAAAAAATGGACATATGTAATAGAAATACGCCAATATCATTTCTTCAATATCCATAACTTTTTTTAATGAAACGCAAAAAGAAAAAAAATCAAGAATGAAGATAAAAGAAATCAGAGCTGAATTTTATTTAATATAATAATATTAAATAAAAATGTGGAAGAAAATGATGTGAAGCATAATACTTTTGAATGAATTCAATATTTTCTTTGGGGTTAGTTATTTTATTATTATTATTATTATTTTTTTTATAAATAACCAAATCAGCCGATTCTCTCACACACAATTGTCTATTGAGTTCTCCAATATCCAAAAATAAGGTCCCCTTAAGAAACTTCATACCTAAAATGAAACTTACAACACTGAAAAAAATAAGAAAACGAGGCACATAGCAAGACACGCCTGCCAAACACGAATCAGTAATTATCAATGAATTTGTCGTTTAACATGGAAAAAATTGGTATTTTGTAATAATAATTAGCAGTCACCCACTATAATTTTCATATTATATGGTATTGCTGGCAGAGGTATTTGATACAGAAAGGGAAAAATAAACACATATATGGCCATTACTGCATACCATGCGAATGCGATGATGAAGCCTAGACTTCGGATTGAGATGTCTGTAACTTACTATATATCAACCATTACAACGTCAACCCTTCAGTTAAAATTGGAAATCTATTACTTGCATTGCAATATTGTATAAATTCATGACGTTGGTATCGCAGTCGTATAATTTGCGGTAATAGTGGTAACCCTTATATATGGTAGCATTATATCATGAAGATGAAGATGGTGATGGTGATGATGGTGATGGTGATGATGGTGATGGTGATGATGGTGATGATGATGGTGATGATGATGATCGTGATGATGATG